TTGGAGTCTTACTCTCCAAGGCAAATTCCAACGTCTGGCGCACAGTTAATGTGGGAAAGTGAATATCCTCTTCCGGGATATAGGCGACTTCGCCCCTGAAATGTTTCGAAATATCCTCTGGTTTGAGCCCGGAATAGTCAAGCGATCCAGTCACGCCTAAGAACGAGGAGTGATGATTTGCTATGGTTCGCAAAAACGTCGAACACCCGGCACCCGGACGTCCCAGTACCCTTGAACGGGGGGGAAATGTCAATGCTTGGTTCTAGTCAAGGTTCAGAAGAGGAGGGAAATACACACAACATAATTTCTCCACTGCGCACCACCCCGGAAAAATCGTTGATCAGAGGTCTTCCATCTTGTAGCTTTGGAGGAGCAATCCACCGTTTGATTGTCCACTCATAGACGTCTTGAAAGGTGCATGTCCTCCAAATTGCGTGTGCTAACGTCTTCACCTGCGCATGCTCGTTCCGCACCCCCCAAGTCGACACGTTCTTGAAACACACTCCGAGCCGACCAATCGGCTCGCTGCCCACAGATTTCACACTGCGTTCTCTAAAGTATCTGTCAAGGGATGAATGGGGTTCAGGATATTCAGTGTGTTCCGTTTCAGAGAACTCAGTTAACGTCCGGTGTAAATCAGCCAAAGTTTGCTCATCCTGCTGGGTTGGATGCACTTGGGGTTGCGAATCATTTCGGTGCTCGGTGGCATAGCGAACACGTTCGCCATGAGTTGGAACACGAGACAGTACCGGCACTGTCAGCGGCATGACTGTAGAGCTGAGGACCAGACTGTGTACTCGTCATGAAATATATACCAGTGCGACTGAGAGATGGTTGAAACCTCCATTTTGCTTGAGGTACCGAAAACGGTCTTGTATATGACATTGCAAAGAATACGCCGAAGAAGGGGACAAGAATAAAAATTACAAACCAAAGCCACCCGACTCCAAACTCTTGAGTGGGCCAAACCTAACTTCATCGAATTGGTTTTTACCGAGAAAGGAAGCCAAGCGGAGGACTTGCGACCAAGGTTTTTGATGCCAAGCCCGGGCCTTTTCTGATAGATTGCCGAGAACATTTCCACGCCGAGAAACTAAAACCTTCGACAGCGACGTGACGTGAGGCTAAACCCACGGAGGCAGCCAAGACACAGCCCTAATTCTGACCAGCTACTACCGTGGGCCAGATTGCAGTGGCGAGATAACTAACTTCTAATTAGCCGATTCATCATAACTTGATCTGATCTCCTCGTGGACGGGTTTGGATTTATTTCTCCCAACTCCTTCCATTTCGATATTAAGCTGGTAAATGTTAGTGACACATTAGTTTGATGGGTGGGAATGATGTCGATTGCAGAGGCGCTCTTGGGAGAAGGAGCATGCTTTCTCTAGGCACGACAGCTTGGACCCCCTCGCCGCTCCAGGATCCAGCTGTCAGCCAAGCCTTTTCGAGCAGTCCATGCTATACCTGTCGGCGCCGGCGTGTAACATGCGACCGGCTGATTCCAACTTGTCGAAAATGCGATAAGGCGCAGAAGGCATGTTTGGGGTATAAGAAACCACTGACTTGGGTGCATGGTGTTGCCAGCCGGGGAAAGATGATGGGATTGACATTTGACGATATCACGGCGAACAAGTCCTCGCAAGCTACCTTAGTGAATGGCATTGCTGGGCCAGAGGAGCACAATTCTGCAGAATCTTTCCCCTTTGGCAGTTGCTGTTTCGGTCCCGCCCACGATGCATCCGAGGTACTGCCGGGCAATCCGGGATCCTTTGAGTCATGGCCGCTGTCGTCAGTCAGAGGCGCCAATGGCCCGGAAGAATGCCAGAAAGCAGACATGGCATTGTCAGAATGGGATTCGAGTGATCAGCGCAGGAAAGACCAAATTGAATGCTATTCCCATATCCCGCTGACCCTGATAGATCCTATTTTTCAAGGCTTGGACAAAATATCGCGATACTATCTCACATATTGTGAGTCATCATCGTTGCGTTGGATTGGCGATTTTCGCAGACATGTTTTTGCTAACAAATCTAGAAGTTGATCGCAAGTTTTGTAAACTGATGGTACTTTTCGAAGTCCCTCACAAAAACCCCTATCGCCGTCTTATTCAGATGGTTAATGTTTCTTCGGGTGTGTGCGCTGCAATGGCTGCAATAGGCGCGTGCCACCACCTGCATGTTCTTCATTACTCGGACCAACATCCACTTGACAACCACTACTTGAAAAGTAAAGCGCGGTCGTTAGAGGATGGCGAACAGTTTGCACGCTCGCCCAATGCAAAAGTACGAGTTACTTATCAACATCTATTACTTCTGAAGCATCGAGCACTTAGTCAGCTAGAGCAAAATTTGTCGAATCCCGAAACCCGAGGGCAGGATACATCCATTGCTACTTCACTTCTCCTTATGGTTCTTGACATGGTGGAATCAGGCCGGGGGACGTGGAAACTGCATGTCGAAGGTGCTAAGAGGTTGCTCCAGAGTCGTTTCAGCCCACTTGGGGAGATAGACGAGGATGGGTCACCACGAGTGCCTTGTGCAGCGTATGATAGCTTTAATACGTTCCTAGCAGGAAGCTGTATGACGTGCGTATAAATTGCACACAGACCCTTTCTAGCATGCTATATTTTTTCTCGCCCTTGGTCAGTAAAGATAGTGTTTATACCTAACACGCTTTGTTTTTTAGCTTCGACATCATGGGATCCACACTTACTCCGTCTGGGAGTTGGTCTGAACCGGTATCGTCACAACTCATAACTTCACCGAATCTTTTATCTGACACGGAAAAAGAGGTTTGGCTTGGTTGTCCGGGTTCTTTGCTGCACATAATCCTCTACATTTCCTCCCTGCGACATGCGGGCAGCTCATCACAAACCCTCGGACCGAAAGTAAATCTCTCCACAATTTTGTCCCAGATTAATGCCTTTGACCCTGAACGTTGGACGCGAGAAGTCTATCATTCCATGTACGCAGGCACGGAGTATCCCTTTCCTGACCACCATTTCTCAAAAGAGTCATATTGGAGACCTCCTGAACCTGCGGAAAGCAATAGCCCACTGTCAGACTCAGACGCACTATTACACCTTGCTTCAGCGTATAAAATAACAATCACCCTTTACGCAATCCGGATCCTCCTGCACCCCTCACCTGAGGAATGCACCTTCTTTGCGGAACAGGTCACCACAGTCCTAACCCATATCTCACTCATCCCTCCGAGCTCTGAGCTGTTCAAGAGCATCCTGTGGCCGACGTTCATAGCGGGTGCAGAATGCCGCTGCCCAGAGCAGAGGGCATGGTTTCGCGATAAATTAGACCATATGTGGCGCCAGTGCTGGACTGTAAATATACGGGAGGCCATGCGCGTGTTGGATGCGATTTGGAGTCGCGAAGATCAACACGATGGGGACTGGGCGGAGTACTTCGATCGGTTTGGTGCTAACTGGTTATTTATTTGATTGATGAGGAGGTATGTTTTTCCAGCGATGTGATGAGGAATTGAAATTCTCCATTCGAGAGAAATGGCTGTGAAATATCTCAGAGTCAAATCCATGAGTGGGATAATGGGAGTTTGCGCGGAGCCTCATTCCTTAAACAAAGAGACTAGTGAATACATACCATACCATACCCTCTTTAACAACATTGTTTCCATCGAAGTTCACATATTCCTACGAAGATTTTCATACTCTCAAGTGAGACATATGTCCCAGCACAAAAATTGGCTTGTTGATGCCGATTTGATTGATTGGATGTGACGATAAGCTGAATGGGCGTAGGAAAGGAAGTGGACAAGTTGTAGGTATGGTATGGTAGTTATGGTATGGAGGAAGGTTGGGTTGTGCAGCTTAACCAAGGTCTCTCCCCTGCATGCGCTAGAAATCTATACGGAGCCTTGGTACCGGAAGCTCAGTCAATTCCGACCCTTTACTGGGTAGGCCCCAATTCGGCCCCAAATGATAGGGGTGTCACCCTTGGCCGCTCAGCGGAATCTTAGGCATTGTGCCCCTAAACTGCCCCTAAATATTTTGGGGCTGGTAAATTTGTAACAGATATACCATTCCACTTATACCCCGACACCACATACTCTCCGTAACTACTATGTAAGTTAGTTAGTCAACCTACTTGTTTACAATTCTTGGGCCAAGAGTTCACCTTCGTAATGTAATAGATCGAAAATATTGAGCCTTCAGTCTCTCATACAGGCTGGTACTTTCAAAGACCAATCCTCTTCATACGTTTTCCGAAATTTCGAGAAGGGTAAAGGTAACTATCTAAGGAAAAACCGAAATGGAACCCATCAAGATCTTCGATGGCGGGTAGACAAAGAGCGGCAAATGTTAAAAAAAAGGCCCAAATATTGAAAGGCCTCCCACACTGGGAAAATTACCTTCTAATGGTTCCTAAAAAAGGTCCCTATCGACAAACTCCTCCCTGTTCCAGATGATCTTGGTGACTTTAATAATAATAAGCTTGTCTGGTAACGTTATTATCAACTGTTCATCCAACATGACCGTGAAGATAATCTCGATTTTACACAGTACAGTACACCCATAGCCAAGAGGACAAGAGCAAAATCCAAGACCGGCTTTTGATTGAAGGAAGAGTATTACTACTACCTACAGCATAATCCGCTGAATTGATCAAAGTCTTTACCTACCTAGGGTAGACAACTATACTCCGTATATCATTCCCACATGCTATGGCCCATCTAGTTATCCACCGCGTGCAGTAGCGCTGTATAAACCATATTCCTTTTTTTCGAGATAGGGGGCCAAGCAGCGTGCTCCCCTTTTTTCTTTCCACCTCCTAGAACTAAGTGTTGTCACACCAACGCCATTACAACCCCCAAAACCCATATATTTAATCTTCCAATCAATAAAGAATGTTACATTCCACTTAAGAACAAAAATGGAATGGAAAAAAAAAAAATAATAATAATAATAATAATAATAATAAAGAAAGGAACGCCCCCAAAACAACACCCCTTCACTTCCCCCTCAATCAATACCCATAATAATTCACAATCTCCCCCCCAGCCGCCTCCTTCAACCTCCGATTCTCCCTCTTCAACAACGTCCGCATCCACCACGCACACACAATCGCCCCAATCGCAAACCTCGGCTTATCGTAATTCGGCCACACATATGCGCCGTAGATGTACCCAATCTGGCCCGCAACGTTGTGCATCGCAAGCACCACCGCCCGCTTCTCGCGTGTCTGCGACAGCGTCGACGACACCCAGCCGATTATCACCGAGTTGACCGAGTAGGCGCCGACGGGGAAGATGAAGCAGGCGATGTAGCGGCCGGCGGTGTTGAGCGTGGACGAGGCGATGATGAAGCCGACCATGGCCACGCCGAGGCCGCCGGTGATGTGCCAGGTGCGCTCGTGGTGGCGGCCGGAGCTCCAGCCCATGAAGATGGCGCCGGCGGCGGCGAAGATGAAGGGCGGGCAGGTGAGGAGGAGGGTTTCGGTTTTGGGGTAGCCGAGGGTTTTGATGACACTTTGTTGTGGTGTTGTTTTTGTTAGCTGAGTTCATTTCAGCTCAGATTTGACTTTCGCTCGTTTTATTTAGGAGGTTGGGAGTTCCGGGTTGTTAACATACGTTGGGAAAAAGCTGTTGAAGCAGCAGGCTGCCAGGTGGAAATTCTGCATGAGGCAGAAGATCCATGTGCGCTTGTCCCTGGCCGCTTGTCGCAGGCCTTCCATGACAGGGATCTTCTGTGAGTTGCCCTCGCCCATTGTGTCCTTTTCGACTCGATCGTGCGCGAGTTCACGTTCGCGTGCGGTGAGCCATCGGGTCGTGCTGGGGGTATCTGGTAAAAAGAAGAAGCCTCCTAGTGCTACTACAGTGGTCGCGCATCCTTCGATAATGAATAGCCTAGGAGGGGGGAAAGAAAAGGGGGTGGTTATTTTAGCTGAATCGCTTCTAGGGTTGGAGGTATACGATATGCGATAACATACCATCTCCAGCCCGAGATGCCTCTTGCGTCATCCAGACCCTTGAATACACCTGCAGCAATTAAACCGGCAAATCCTGTTGCAAGAATCTGTGCGCAATATAAAACGGCGATTCGAGCGGCAACCTCTGTTACAAACACACAGGCGTTAGAGGAGGTACTAACGGTCTATGAAAAATAGGTAAAAAAACCTGATACAAGGAAAGAAGGAATGTTTATGAACCTTTGCGAGTATAAAATATGGCCAGAAGATATGTCGCTCCCGGGTAAAACTAAATACGAACATTAGATCAAGAAAGAACTCGGTGGTTTTGTTTGCCGAGAATAGGATCTGTACTTACTGGTGCCTCAGTTACCCCAAGCAAGAAACGGCACACCACCATACCAGAGTAGGATTTGACCAAGGCCGTACAAGCTGATGAGGAATTAGTCTCTTTTCTAAATTATCTCGAACTTGTAAATATCCGAATATTGCTTTTTTTTTTTTTTTTTTTTTTTTTTTTTTTTTTTTTTTTTCCCAAAATAAACTGCTAGTTAAGTTATATGTAAACGAACCTGACACAATTGACCAAACAACCATCCACGAGCTCATATAGATACTCGGTCTGACACGGGTAATCAGCATATTGCTGGGGATCTGCATGAGAACGTAGCCGACGAAGAGGATGGAAATGGTGGTGTTGAATTGGTATTCGCCCTCCATGCCCAGTTCCTTCTCGAGATCGTCTAGGCGTGCCTGGGCAAGCGTGTTGCGGTCGATATAGTTGAGGAAGTACATAAAGACCAGCATTGGCTGCAGATACATAGATAAATATGTTAGCTGCCACTGGGCTTTCTCATGCAAGTAAGAAAGAATATCTTATTAAGAGAAGAATATGAAAAGAGGAAGATAGACCATGATTCTAAAATCCAGCTTGCGGACCAGACGGATTTCCTCTGGATCTGTCTTTTCAGCGGCACCGGCATAGTCGCGATTGACAGCCACGCCTTTCTCGGGGAAAGATTCGTTGTGGTCCATTGTCTCCTTGCTGGTGTCTGCGGAGACAACAGCGTCCTTCTCGTCATATTTGGTGTTGGCCATGATTGAGTGGGGAAGATAGATAATTCGCTTATGTTTCGCTGGCCAGCAGAGGAACAAACATTGGCCTGCCGAGGGATGTACATGTAAATGTACTAAAGGACGCGGATGTCAAACAGGAGGCGAGCTGGGGGTTATTTTTATTGATTTGCTAAGAGAGACTGCCGGCTCCAGACGGGAATCAAGAAGCAAACAAGAATGCGAGAATAATCTGGGAAGAGGGGGGGAGGGGAGGGGGTTGCAGCAGCTATATAAAGATTTATATAAGTAAAGGCGACAAACAGAGGCTCCTATAGGACTAAACAGGACATGTGAGTAACTATCCCTGAGTATCTATTCCACGAACATGGCAAAACAAGCCACCAGCAGCAGCAGCAAAAGAACAAATCAGGGCAAAAGCGCCGAGTTTTGCCTGGCTCGACCACGCGCAACACGGCCAACACAGCCAATTCAGCCAATTCTGGGGTAAAAGCAGTATGTGCTCCGGACGACAGCAGCTGTTTTCCATGAGCGCATATGCCCTGCCAGCCAAACCATTGTTTCTGGGGTTTCTGGGGGGGGGTTTGGGGCTAAAATCTAGGCTGCGAAGATCACGGGCTGGCAGGCTGGCTCTTTGTGTCCCGTTGCGTCGCTAAAAAGCGGCATGCAGGATTTGATATATCGATATTGTTGATCCGCGCGTGTGATTGCTGACTGCAGAGCGGGAGCTGGGGAGAGTTGGGATCGCTCCAAGCCACGGCCCAGGTCAAGCTCAGCCAGACAGCCATCTAACCCAACCCCCTAACTTAGCGGTGCAGGGTGTATGGATCGGGCTCTTGGCTGTGACTGGCCATGTTGGGTTGGTAGATCATCCTCCTTTTTTGCAAGTAAGTCTGTTAGCTGTTGTTAGCCCTGGATTGAGCTTCTGTCTCGGAGCGGGTAGTGTGCTGGGCGTGTGTAGGTAGGTGTAAATAGTTACTCCGATGTACGCTGTAGCTCTCGCGCTCGTTCCCCTTGGTTAAATACCGCTCCGCCGAGCGTCTGATTACTGACAGCCGAGGCTAAACACTAACTACTACATACACACTTGTCCAAGAGTCAGTCTAGAGATGGATTCTCCACACTTATTATTCTCCTTATTCTTCCTCTTCCTCTTCCTCTTCTTCTTCTTCTGCTTGTTATTCTTGTTATTCTGCATCCTCTCTGTCTGTGCTGTATGCCGGGTCATGCCTGAATCCAATCTACGCTGCGTAACACCCTCTCACAACCCCCTCCACCTCCCCCGTTCCCCAGCCTGTGGCGCATACAAAGAAGAAGGGGAATGTGCTTCCGTCTCCAAGTTACCTGTCACTCTGTATCCTCATAGCAAGCTTCCCCCCCGTCTATACCGACGTCAAAGCTTCAGAAAGCGCGTCAGCTTGCTGTCAGCTTCGTGCCTACATTTCCGTGAAGAAGCGCGAGTCGGAGACAGATACCAACAACAGCAATAACAACAACTACTGCTGCTACTACTACAACGATAACTACAACGATAACTACAACGACGACGACGACGACGACGACTACGAGAATGTCCCTGGTCAGTCCCTTCAGGGACCGTCAACACAATTGGGCTCTCGTTACTCTCTGGGCCGCCGCAGCGGTCTCCGTTCCCTACTTCACACTCCAATTCATCCGAAGTCGACGGCAGCAATCCAAGACGGGTGATGATAATATTACTACTGCTGATGCTAATAATAATAACAATGATAAATCGGCTTCAATTCCGTCGCTACCTCTCCTGCTGGCTGCGCGGAGCCACGCGCAGAAAGATGCCCGCAAAATCGCGATTGTGGACACTGCCAAGGGTGAAAGCTTCACTTACGCCCAACTCCTAGTGGACGTCTCGTCCCTCAAGAAGCAGGTTCTAGAGTCCCTGGAGCTGGTGTTGACGGGGGATTTGGAGGAGCGACGCATTGCGTTTTTGACACCGGCTGGATACGACTATATCGTCTGCCAATGGGCTGTATGGGCTGCTGGCGGAGTATGCGTGCCATTGTGTAGGAGATATATTCAATTTTGCTGTTTCGTAATTTTACATTTTTCTTCCTAGAAGATGTACAACTAAACTAACAACTAGTTTTTTTAAAAAAAAAAAACAAAATATATAACAGGTACAACTCACCCTACAAAGGAAATCATATACACCATTACAGACTCAGACCCGTCATTGATCATCCTCCATCCCTCGTTTAACTATATGAAAGCCGCAATCCAAGAAACGTGCCCCGATATCCCTTTTTTCAACCTTACCCCGTTTGTCGCGAGGAGCACAGAATCTCGAACGTCCTTACCCCCGTTCCACGCCTCCCTCCCCCAATCCAGACGCGCATTGATGATATACACCTCCGGAACAACCTCAAATCCCAAAGGCTGCGTGACAACCCACAAGAACATAATATTTCAATCAGAATGCCTAGTCAAAGCATGGAAATACACCCCGACCGACCACCTCATCCATATCCTACCCTTACATCACGTACATGGGATCATAAACGGGCTCACAGCCACCCTCCTCGCCGGCGCGACGGTGGAAATGCACCCCAAATTCGACCCCGCCGTCGTCTGGCAGCGGTGGTGCGATAAGGGATCGTCGACGATGTTCTTCGCCGTCCCAACCGTATACTCGCGCCTCGTGGATTACTTCGATGCGCACATCCGATCCACGGAGCTGGAGCTGGATGCGCGTCAGGGCGCGCAGGCGCTGCGACTCGCCGTCAGCGGCTCCGCGGCCCTGCCCACGCCCATCAAGACGAAGTTTGCGGAGATCACGGGCCAGGTGCTACTGGAGCGGTATGGCATGACGGAGATCGGGATGGGGATTAGCTGTGGGTTAGATGTTGAGACGAGGATTGATGGTAGTGTCGGGTGGCCGTTATCGGGTGTGCAGGTTCGGCTTACCGATAGGGAAACTGGGGAGGTAGTTGGTGCGGCGACGGGGGCGGAGGAGGAAGAAGCGGGAATGATTGAGGTGAAGGGCGATAACGTGTTTTTGGAATACTGGCGACGGCCGGAAGCCACCGCGAAGGAATTTACGGCCGACGGGTGGTTCAAGACCGGCGATGTTGCGAAACGGGATTCGAACGGGGCGTATTACATCCAGGGGCGGGCGTCGGTTGATCTGATCAAGTCTGGTGGGTACAAGATTTCTGCGCTGGAGGTGGAGCGGAAGATGTTGGCGTTGGAGGAGATTCAGGAGGTTGTGGTTGTGGGGCTTGCGGACGAGGAATGGGGGCAGAGGGTTGCGGCTGTTGTTAAGCAGCGGGAGGGGGTAGGTTTTTTTTTTTTTTTTTTTTTTTTTTTTTTGCGCCCACGGCCCCTGTGGATTTGATTCTAATCTAACCCGCTTTCATTTTCATATCATACAGACTCCAACGCTTGAACTAAACCCGCTGCGTACTCGACTGAAAGAAGAGATGGCCCCGTACAAGATACCGACTGTGCTGAAACTTGTGGATAGTATCGAGCGGAACGCGATGGGGAAGGTGAACAAGAAGGATATCATCAAGACCTACTGGCCGGATAAAGCATGAGGTAGGTGGTTGGGATAGATTTTTTGGTTTTGGCTTTGTTACCGTTTCTGATTTTTATTTTTATTTTTTATTTTTATATATTTTTGCCTCATTTTTATTCTTTCCTACTCTTCCATTGTTTTTCGATATTATTTCCTCTTCACTTATTACCATTGATAGAATTGTTGTAGAGCTTGGTTCATCTCGTGATTTTGTTAACATTACCGTACTTGTACCTCGTTCTTCTACTTTTCTGTATGTACAGTAGTTACATGTTACATGTACATTACATACCTAGCACAGCACTGAATACACTCTTCCACAGCTTTATTTGGAAACTGTATAGTTATACATAAATCCTATATAATCAGGATCTGAAGTGAACCCAAATCTGCCCAACAATAACAATAACAACGTCACCATCTCATCCCCGTCCTCCGCAAGCCGTTCCCCCCCGTCCGCGTTCGGCCTTGGCTTGGCTCTCCCGATCAGCCGAACGTTGTCCCTTGGCGTGTTTGCCTCGTTTGGATATAATTACTTATCTAATAATAAACTGGTTGCGGTCACGTTAAGTTAATTATTGTAGGATAGTTGAAGGTTGTGTATTGATAGATCTATCTACAAGAACATAATATAGTGGTGGGTCACGTGATCTAGTGGGATCGCTAACCGCAACAGCCGTAAGGGCCAACACCCCCCCTTGAGATAACAAGAATCACATACAAAAACACTCAAACCACCAAGATAGTCTGTCAAAACCAAATACAAATGTAAAATTAAACATTCCCAACTTTTATGCCTGTAAGACCTAGCAAAATCATGAATCATGCAAATGTCACAGTGTCTAGAGATTTAGTGAGTTCATCTGCTGTCATCTGAGCAGTGAGAATGTATTCTAAATCAATGATTCTCTGATTCAACTGTCAACATGAAAAATGAAAACATGTGTCAATATGCTTGCTTCAGACTGTAATAGCTGCCATCTTTGTGAGATCTATGACATTCTTATTATCAGTGAGAATCTGTATTGAAGATGTAGTGATGAAGCCAAGCTTAATCATGAGATTCTGAATTCATGTTGCTTCACAGACTGCCTTACTAAGAGTCATATATTCAGTCTCATTGAAACTCAGAGATATATAAGATTGCTTCACTGAACATCATGAAATCAGGCTGTCTACAAGCTTAAAAATGTAGCTGAATGTTGATTTTCTATTATTATTCAATGAGCTGACTCAATTGAAATCTGAGTAGCTGAAGAGTAGATAGAAATCATCAGAGAAATCAGAGATAATGGAAAGATCAGTAGAAATGAACCTCTCATACAGGTCATGTTTGTAGAAAATACTCAGATTCATGATTTCTTTCAAATAATGTATAACATGTAATAAAGTCTTTCAACATTGAGATGTTGAATCAACATTTCATTGAGTGAGTAGTAAGATAGTGTAAGTGATATCAGAACATGTTTTAACTGCAAGATATTGCAAACAACTCACATTATATTAATATTATTGAATTGTGAAATCAGTCTCTTTCTCAGATATAGAGAAATCATCAATACAGAATTCATTCTTCATTGATATTCTGATAACAGCTGTATTATCAAGATAGAAATCTTTAACAAGATATTTAATATATTAATGATATATTAAATCAATTCTCTTATCTGAATAATTGATCTTCATACTCAAATACTTGATTGACTGATGTAGATTCTTGACTTTCAATTTCTCACTGAGTATACTCACTAGTTAATTAGCATTCTCAGAAACTTCAGATATGATGTTAAGATCATCAATGTAGATTATCATATAGAGGTGATATCTGAATATATGATATCAGAGTGCTGAATTATAGATACTGACTGTAAATTCAAGATTACTCAATAGAGCTGTTAAGTAATCATATCAGATCTTTATTACAGAGTTCAGACTGTATAGACTACTCTCAATTATGCAGACAAGTATTTTCAGTGAACCTGTCTTAAATTCAGTGAATTATCTTATATAGATCTTCTTAGTGAGGCACTTATACAGATATATCATTACTATATTCACTTAACAGAGTATTCAATCATATAGTACTGCTATTGTAAAAAGAATATGATTGACAGTATCAGTGATGACAGAAGCATAGATCTCTTCTCTAGAATTCTTCTTAAGTTAGTTATCACAAATCACTCAACACAATTTTCTAAGAATATTATCAGAATCAGCATTCAAGTTCACAGGTCTATCTTTCTTAAGAAACACTCAACAGTCTGAAGTAATCAGTTCATTTCTTAGAATATCAGATCTAGAGATCAAACTTCATGTATTGCATCTCTTCAGATTAGTAATCTTGCATTGTATGAACTTCTTTCAATAATCTTCTATCTTCTCTGACTGAGATATGACATTCTTATAGAACTTCAGAAGGTTATCTGTAATAAGGCTTGAAGTATAAGTAGTCAGTGATTTCGCGGGCTGTAATCATGTAGAATTCAGATCATCAATGTCAGAAACATCTTCATCATTAATCAGATGAATATCAGGCTTCAGTTCAACAATATGATTAATGAGTTTCACAGATGTAACAACTGGTTTTTCAGTGATTAGAAATCTCACATCACTACTGGCAATAATCTTATCAGATTTGAAATGTCATAGACAATATATCAATGTGTCACTGAATTCAATGATATGATAGAAATCAGCATGTGAAGAAAGCTTATTCACAGGCCACTGAGATTCATGTAAGTGAATAAAAACCTCTACACTTAATCAGTGAAAATGCCTCACATTCAGTGAGATATTCATAAGTGCACATTAAGAAATCTTATATGAACTTGAAATCACAGAAGTCTCTGCAGTAGAGGATCAAAATTTTGAGTTGTAAAGAACTATAGATGTGAGAGTATTATTAATTATTGTAATCACTGTCTCTAAAACATCTGTTCAGAACTTCTTAGAAAGATTATCTTTTAAAAGAGCAGCTCTAACTTATCTTATGATAGTGTAGATTTCATGTTCAAAAACATCATTTTAATGTGATAAATGTGATGCTGTTGATTCTCATTTAATATTATATGAATTTATAACTGTGTGCATACATATGAATTGAAAAACATTATTAATATCAGTCTGTAGAAAAGCAGGAGCTGTATATCTGAGATTATTTATAAATCTGAGTCACAACTCAAAGTATTGAACAGTCTCATTCTTAGACTTTAAAAAATATATTCAATGATAGTGGGTTGCATCACAGATGATAAGCATTCAGTATTTAATTTTCTAGCAGAACTCTAAGAAGTGATCAGAGAGGTCTTTCAATGTATATTCATCACCTGCAAGGTTAATATGAACCTTCTCAATGAGTCAAATAGATCTAGGCATCAGTGTTTTCAAATAATCTTGTATCATACCTGCCTTGACACATTCTTCACAAAAGAACTTAGTCTTAGAATCTTTAATAGTGACTTCAGTATGAGAATTCTTGACCATAGCAATTATAGCACCAGTGTGAATGTGACTGAGGTCACAGTGCCAGTTCAAAAGAGTCTTTGATATTCTTGTATTCTGTGTTTTCGCGTCTGCAGAATCGATGTTATTAACAGTAGTGACAGCAGTCACAGAAAGATCAACTTTTCAGTCAAAATTATACTCATGAGACATCATTGAAATATACTTGACTGCTCTATTCAGATGATTGAGATTCTCATTGAACTCTCACTTGTTGACCTTATATATGTTGTTCTGAGTGGTTCAAACTGCATGAAAAATAACACTGTTCAGAGCTCTGCAAATGAAAAATGAGAGAATAGTGAAAGACAATGTAAATCAGAATCCCTGATCTTCAAGCTTTGCAAATGAGAGCAGATTAACTGTAATATTAGAAATATAGTGAACATTCTGCAAGTTAACATCATCACTCTCAATCTTCAAGATGACAGTCTCAATCTTCTTGACAAACTCAGTTCTCTCAGTGACAGAATCAACAGAGATGTTATCATTAAAAGGTTTGATATTTGAAAAAGAATGAAGCTTATCTGTCATATTCAGGCTTGCACATGTGTTCAAATATCAAGATCTAGAGAATGGTTTTCCAGTGACTGTGAAAAAGAAATAGAACTCAATCTTTGTAATTGCTGCATTTGCTGCTGATTGAGAACTTATCAAGTCATTCTTCTTCTCTTTCTTCTTATCATTCTTCTTATCATCCTTCTTTTTCTTTTTATCAGAGTGTAAGATGAAACACCTGTCAACAGTATGTTCATATCTTCTGCAGTGAATGCACTTTCATACAGGTGTGCTTTTATTCTCATCTTTGTTCTTATCTTTGTTCTTGTTCTTTTTCACAGTCACAGAATCAGCCTGAGACTGCTTTTTCCACTCAGTGATAATCTTCTTAAATGTATGATTGATCAGTTGCTTTATCAAATCATTGATATCAATGTTGACAATGAGTCTCTGATCAGTGAAGAAAAACTCATTCAAATATGTCTTGACAAATGATCTTTGATAATCTTGTAGATTGTTGAGGAAAAGATTATAATATACATTCTCAGTGCTCTGACAGAGCTTCTTGTGACAGATAATAATATAGTGAAAATATCTCTGAAAAATAAGATAATTATTCTTCTTAACTTATAATTTTATCAATTTCTTGAAGATATTAACTTATTCTTCTATCAGTGATATTACATATTCAATGTTAATCTTGTCTTACAGAGCTGCAGTATTATCAGCTTTCAAGATTTCAATAGTAATTTAAATGTTTTCAACAAGACTTGATAGCATACATCTATATAGAGACTTGAAACAGATTCTTCACTTCTCAGAGTTGATATAATATGTAAAAGAGAATTCTCATTAAGTTCTTAATAGAATGTCAGTTTCATTAATAACTTCTGCATCAGTCAATATATTAATATATCAGACTTCATAATTAGAGTCATTAAATGTAATCACTGATTTAATATCTAGTGTATATTTGACTTTCTTCTGATATTTCTGTAACTCATTTCTTATAGTGTCTCTTTATACTGTAAGAAATTCCGCTCCTCGCGGATTCTTTACTTCTATTCCTATCTCTCGCGTAATTAATAGGGCTAGCGGCCCTTGACTACACACAACTATATAGACTGGAGTTCATGAATACTATTCACAACTCAGCTTAAATGCTATTATACATTTGACTTCTACATTTTATCTTTCTACTGTGAATACTTCTAGTAGTTAACAGTACATATCATGTCAAGCTGCAAACACTCAAATAATCATCTGTGAGTACTTATTCTTACATTTCAAGCTCAGTCAGTCAGCAACTGCCTGTTATGACTGAAAGAACTAGAAACTTATATGCTTCAATCCCTGTAAACCCTACTGCAGACACTCAGAAGCAGCCACCTGAATCATGAATAACTCTCATAGAAGAAGTCTCAGAGAACTTATTAATTACTTATAAGACATCATTCTCTGCATCTGTGACAGAGGAACTCTCTGAACTCATGAATAAATCAATCTCAGTGAAGAACATTCTTGAGCATCTCTTATAAAATCAAGCTATTTTTCTACAAGAAATGCTTACTGTCTGTAAACACTCTTGAACTGAGTCTCTAGATATGATCTTCAGAGATATCTATAAACTGAAAAGAAACTTTCTTAAGCTGTGATCACTTAAGGCCACTTATTGAATCATAATCTATAAAAGCTTTTGTGAGTTTGTATTTGAAATTGACTTACAAGCCTGACTGTGTGATATGAAAGATGAAGAAGCTGTCATCTACATGATAACAGGCCTCTATTACACTGAAGTCAAGGACTGGCTGAATTATCTAGAGAATAATCATGAGAGATTTCACTGATCTGTTCTCAAGATCTATTTAGAGAATAAGTTAAGAGACTTCATGAGCTGAACAGAGAATACCTGAGCTGTAATTATCAATATTAGAAAAAGAGATGAAGAATCTGATAAAGACTACTCACAGTACTTCATGAAATTGTGATATAAATTGAGATCTGTGAAAACAGGGCTCTGAAACAAGACCTAAATAATGATATTTATGAAGAGACTGAATAAAGATATGCAGAACAAGCTCATTGAGTAAGACTCTAAGTTCTTGACTCTGAAGAAACTGATAACTCTCATTCACTACTTATGAATCACTGTGAGAGTTACAGATCTGCAGAGAGTAAATCATCAACTGACTCTGTGAGAGTCAGAACAACAGAGAACAGATTTGCTAGAAAAAGATGATAAGATATAGAGAGATTCATATCTGACTGCTGAGCAGAGAGAAAGAGCTTTACAAGCTTCTGTAAACAGAGTGTATAATAGAGAGACTAAGGAAAAGAGACTCTACTTTATCTATTCTAAATTAGAACATCTTCACACAAACTGTTCAGACAAATTAAAATAGAAATTTAAGAAGTCATGAACAGAGTCAGCAACAGCCTTCTTAAGAGTCTTGAAGCTGACATCTGAATCTGTTACTTCTTCAATGAAAATACTTACTTACAGAGAGAGACTGTACTGCAGTGCTGCTGTCTCATAAGTATGAAAAGTATTGATGAACTCAGAATCTCAGATCACTGTGATGTTTCTAAAGCTTACAGAGTAAATGAGCTGAAAGATGAAGACTGAGAATCTACTCTTGTAATAAGCAGAGTATGAGAACTCAGACCTGAGAGCTGAGAGACTTATAAGAGTTATCTTTGAATTACAAGATCTCTCTGAAATCTGGAGAAGATTTGCAGAAACTGTGATTATTATGAATATTGTAGATAATATATACTTGAGACTTATATAACTTCAAAGACACAATTCATATATAGCTGTCTACAAGTCAGGTTTATACTTCTGATCAGTGTTGACAGACTTACTTATAAAGATAGAATCAGTTAATGCTGCAGAGTTGATTAGAGAAGACAAGCTCATCTATATAATGACTTTATAAGTATCTGAGAATCTTATGATTATGAAAACTGAGCTTCAGATATCAGAGAAATACTGAGATCTTACAGAGATATTCAGCTCAGTAAAGACAGCTGAGCTTCTCTCTCACTGTGAGAAGAATCTGATAATAGATTTAATAGAAGAGTAGAAACTCTTCTGAGAATTAATCTATAAACTCTCTCATCATGAGACAGAGGTCTTGTAAATCTATATAAAGAAGAATCTGAAGAATAACTTTATTCAATCTTCACAGACCTCTGTGAAAGCTTCTGTGATATTTATAAAGAAGAAGAATGAAGATCTCAGATTGTGTATAGATTATTATGACCTGAACTTCAAGATAATAAAGAGCTGCTATTCTCTGTCTCTGATTGAGAATGTGATCAACTGTCTTACAGAAGCTGTCATATTCACATAACTGAATATAATTAATACATATACACAGCTGTGAATACAGTCTGAAGATGAATGAAAGACTGTCTTTAAAACTGTACTGAGATTATTTGAATATCTAGTAATGTCTTTTGATCTGACTAATGTCCTCACAGCATTTCAGTCTTTTATTAATAAAATACTTCATATATATCTGAATGTCTTCATAGTAATATATCTGAATGATGTGATAATATACTTTATGAAGAAGAAAGAATACACTGAGCATGTGTGAAGTGTGTTGAAGGTCTTAGATAAGACAGAACTGTATATTAAGCTCACAAAGTGTAACTTCAGTATCTGCTGAATTAATTTCCTAGAATATGTAATCACTGTAGATAATATTCAGATGAAATCTTCATAGATTGAGACTATTCTATCATGACTGAAGTTAACTAGTATTCATGAGATTCAGATCTTTCTGAGCTTTGTGAATTTCTATAGACAGTTTATCTTTATATTTACAAGAATCTTCTTGACTCTTACAGACATGCTGAAGAGTGAAAATAAGAAGAAGTCATTCTATGAACAGAGAATGAAAAGATTATTAAGAAGAGAGAACTGTGAGAACTTTCTTATCTCAGAAGCTCATGAGGTCTTTATAAGATTAAAACAGGTATTCATGAATGCAGTGATACTGTTTCACTTTAATCTCTTACTCTTAATCAGATTGAAGACAGATATCTTCTTCTTTATGATTTCAGAAATAGTCTCACAACTACAGTTAAATGAGAACTGGGTTTCAGTGGCCTTTTTCTCACAGAAGATGTAACTTACAGAGATCAACTATGATATTCATGATCAGAAGCTTCTTACAATAGTAGAATTCTTCTATCACTGATATTACTACTTTAAGAATCTTATAACAGTGATTACTGTTAGAACTGATTATAACAGCTTGTAACAGTTTACTTTAATCAAGAAACTCTTATAATGACAGATTCACTGAGCTCAGAGACTGAGTGAGTTCTGATTCAAGATAGAATATATTAAGAGAACTAAGAACTCAGTGAATGAACTCTCTTACAGGTCAGACTATGTTAAGAAGATCAGAGTGACAGACACAGAGAGACTAGAGAAGACAGAAAAGCTTTACAGAATGCTTGAACTGAGTGTTGCAAAGAGATTGACTGAAAAGTCTCTCAATTCTCTGTAAGAGAAGAGAAGAGAGAGAGAGAAGAAGCCTGTATAACTACTTCTTATAACACTGAGAGTCAACACTCTGAAGATCTTTATAAGAATTCTTGAAGAGAATATCTATAATCTGAAGAATTTATAGACTTTGAGAAGCACTGTAAAAGACCTGATATAAGAGAAAACAGAGTATAAGTCTTTATAAGATCTTCTATTCAGATTGTCTGAACTGTAACTGAAGAATGAATATACTCAGTATATTTAAAAACTGCTTACAGCAGAGATCAATCCTGCAGAAATAAAGAATTGAAGAGACTTAAATAGTCTCTTATAAAGAGATAGCTGAATTTATATACCTATGAATAAGTTTCTATATATAGAACTTATTAAAAGGTATTATAACTCTTCTCTAGTAAGTCATTTTACAGACACTAGAACTCATAAGTTGCTTGTAAGAAAATACTTCTGACTGAAGATATAAGAACTTATAAAGAAGATAGTGAATTCTTATACTATTTATCAGAGTTCACAGATAGTGTGATTCAGATTATATAAAGAACTTACTTCTCTACTCATTCTGTGAAAACCTTGAAAACAGCTAGAAATGAATGCTCTTATGAGCCTCTCTGAAAGCAAGGACATATATGATGTCTGCTTTAACAGTGTGCTGATGATAGTGAATCACTTCATTAAAATAGCACACTTTATACTCACCTGCAAGAACTTGAAGTCAAAGAATTTAACTCATATCTTTGTCTGTGATATGATTCAGTTGCATGAATTGTCTGTGAATATTGTCTTAGATAGAGGATTAATCTTTGCAGAAGAGTTCTGATCTGATCTGATAACTATACTGAAGATTTTATGAGATCTAAGCATGACTTTTCATCAACAGATAGATGATCAGATAGAATGCCTGATGAGTATATTGAAACAGTATCTGTGATACTTTGTCAATTATAATCAGAATGACTGAGTGTATTGATTATTACTTACAGAGTTTATATACAATAACTTAAAATATGTTAGCACAGATAAAACCCTCTTTGAGATGCTCACTGAGACTCATCTGTGAATAATCTTGATAAACCTGCGAGAGTACACTATAGAGTGTAGTGATATCTGTGAACAGGCTGAGAGAATTCAGAAGATCTGAGAGAAAGTCTGTAAATTCTTGAGAAAGACTCAAGAGTATCAGAAGAGATACTATGACTTCAAGTATATTATAAAGAGTTTCAAGAAAGATGATAGAGTCTGACTAAGTCTAGAAAATATTACTATATGAAGATCTAGTAAGAAGCTGAATCTCTTGTGAACAGAGTCTTATAAGATTGTGAAGAAAGTTAGTTTACAGTTCTACAGATTGAAACTGTTATCTAAGTTATAGATATACAATGTTTTTCATGTCTCTTTACTTCACAAATATAAGGAATTCTCAGAAGAGAACTCTGTGACTCATCACTCTGTTTATAAAGTACTAGAGAGTGAAAGAGAATATCAGGTCAAAGAAATTATTAACTCAGAGAAGTGAGATTGTAAGCTCTGATTCAAGATTCAGTGACAAGAGTATTCTGATAAGATGAATAAGTTCACTTAAGAATTATTCAGACAGATAAGATATCTGCAGAAGCTAAGACATGACTTTTATACTGTGAATTCTGATAAGTCAGAATGATGCAGTCTTTACTAAGAACCTGGTTATAATAAAGACATTAACACTGTCATTTGTAAACTCTAGTCTATAAGATGATGAGTTTCTACTGAGATAAACAGTCTGCAGTGTATACAAGGAAAGAAGAAATTATATTCTTATTAAAGCTAAAAAACAAGAAAATAAACAGGGCTGTGAATACAATTTGAAGATCAATAAAGAAAAAACAAAGAAAACTCAAACTCATATTCTCATTATCTGTAACACTCAATTCTCTCACAACTATCAATTTTCTTCTTCAAAGAAGCAGGAAGCATTATGTCTGCAGTACAGACAATTATTACATTTGACATAAAAGCTGTCAGAAATGCACAGACTTCAGAGAAGCTGAATATCAGAGTATGTATAGTTGTGACAGAATCTTGAGAGCTGGCTGTCTGCATGTGTGATCAGATATCTCTTATGAAGCTGTGTCTGCTTCTTCAGTTGTGCTGAAGTATTCAGCCTGGAAATAATTGAAATATGAAGAGAAGGCTTATCTGTTCAGGTCAACTTCTGTCATGAATTTATAACATTTGCATTACCTTGATTACTCAGATTTTGCAGATACTCAGAGACTCATCTCTCATTGACAATGAAATTATGGAAATGTGCTGCAGTGTGAGAATCATTGATAGAAAACCTAGGTATATTTGCATATGTCTGGTCAGAAATTGTGTGAGCAGAGAAAAAGTGATTGTAGGTCTGCAGAACTGCAGGAGACACTGACAATATCAGAAGCTTTGTAAGAACTGTTAGCTAGAGTCTGTAAGGAATTACTTATAAGAAGACTTACAGCAAAGAAGGAGACTGTGCTGCTTAGAGTCAGAAGCTGGTCTGGAAGAGGCAGGGGATTGGCCGCTGGCCTGAAGATCAGGTGCAGTGGCAGAGCTGAAGGAAATGAAGATGTGATCATGAGCAGTGACATCTCTGCTTCATCAGCTGATAAAAAGCAATCAGAGAAGTTGTGAGAATACTTATAAGAAGCTCAGCAGTGATCAGACATTGTTACAAAGATATTGAAATTGAAAAATTTTTATTCTTGAGAAGTTCTTGAATTAATATGTGAATATTATCAGAAACACTCTCTCTCTGTCATCTGAGTGAAAACACTTCACAGATGAATGAGAATACTCACAGTTTATAAGAATAAGAGCTGTTATAGAAAAAGAGAAAAGAAGATGAGATTCTGTGAACAGATCTGGGATATTTATACTACTCTAGAGAGGTTTGCTTACACTGTGAGTGATTCTGTGAAACAGTCAGATTACTCTAGTAAATAAGAGTGATTGTGAATTGCAGGCCTGAATCTTTCTATATAACTATAAAGAGTGATTGCAGACTGTGAACATCTTAATTCTACAATTCTACAGAGTTAATGAAAGAATGAAAAATTTCTCACAATTCTACAGTGTTAAAGAACAATGATTTATAAGAATAAGTGAAAGATTAACTCATAAATGTTTCTCTTTAATGAGAATGATCTCACAGAAAGTGATTCATCTGTGAGATAAATCTGTGTAATAATCACACAAGAATCTTATGAAAATGATTGAGAGTCAACTGAAATTCTTTTATATGAAAGATGTGAGATGAATCTGCATGATAGTCAGAGAAGAATCTGTAGATTACAAAGAATCTTGCAGAATAAGAAACTGAGTGACAGACTCTTTTCTCTTTATAATAACAAGAGATTTTTCCTCACTGAGATTTTTTTATAGATGTGAAGGATTTTTAGTGAGTATCACTGCAGTGCTGAGCTGATTCTATGAAGTCACTCAGTGAAAGGCTTCACAGACAAAGTCTTAGAGAGAAGAGAGTATGTAAGAAATTTCACTTCTTACAGATTCTTTATCTCTATTTCTATCTCTTATATAATCAATAGAGCTAGCGGCCCTTGGCTACACACAACTATATAGACTGGAGTTCATGAATACTATTCACAACTCAGCTTGAATGCTATTATACATTTAATTCCTACATTTTATCTTTCTACCATGAATACTTCTAGTAGTTAACAGTACATATCATGCCAAGCTGCAAACACCCGAATAATCGCCTGCGAGCACTTATTCTTACATATACAGAGACAGATGTAGTGAGATGTTAAGTGATTTCAGCTGCAGTCATTTGATTCTGTAGCATTATCTGTATAAGATTCATAAGATTGCCTGCAGTGTAATAGATAGATTGATTTGAATCATTATTAAAAGTCAGCATTTCAGAGATAAGAAATGATAGAGAATTTAATGAGTTGAAATGAACAGATTCTGTAGATGAATATTAACTCTGCTTTTCTTTGTTCTGAAGTTTCTCTGTTATCTCATCATCAAATTTCATACTCTGGTGAAAACTGATCTCAGTCTCATCTTGCAAGTCAGGAGCTTTCTCATAATGAGTGATTATTCTATCAATGAGTCATCTAGTAAAGTGTGTGATTCTGAGCCTTGAGCTGAACTCTGAAGTAACAGATATATCACTTATATTAAGATGACTCTGCTTCTTCTAGATGTGTAAAAAAAAAGTGATATTCTTCACAATGAAGAACACACTTTCTCAAAAAAAAATATAAAGTATATGAATCTACTGATCAGCAGATTCAGAGAAAATGAAATATCTCTAATAAAGAGTGAAAGTCTTTTCAAAAAAGGTGAACTATCTGTGTTAAAAAATGTTGATACAACATTCTAAAAAGAAAAACATGCTATTCAGGCTATAATCTGTAGAATAGTTGAAGGTTGTGTATTGATAGATCTATCTACAAGAACATAATATAGTGGTGAGTCACGTGATCTAGTGGGATCGCTAACCGCAACGGCCGTAAGGGCCAACAATTATGTGGAAGGTGTAAAGCTTGTGTGATTGAAAGATTGCTGCTAGCTTGTGAAAAGTTATGTAGGCTACTGAGGCAAAAGAGCTCAATCATCACCAGCGCCTGCTGATAGAAGGGCTGACCAACCGCAGGACCTTCAACAAGTTATATAGTGAAAGGATTAGTAAGCCAGATCACGTGACCTGACACCCTCACTCACCAGAGTAACTATACACGATGCTATATACAAAATTCGCCTTCAAATCAAGTACAGATATAAAAAATGACTGGAAAATGTGTAGTAATGAAAAACCAGTCATGAGATATATTATTTTTTATCCCTCTATCTCTCTATCTTCTTTATATTCTCTTTTCAACACATATATTTCAATGTTTCAAGTGATTTAGTAAGCTCATTCACTGCATTCTCAGCAGATGAAACATATCAAATAAATATCTTATTCTTGTAAATGAGATTCTGAAGAATAGACTGGCTGCTGAGATTATGAATTTCATGTTTAATCTCATTTAATCTAGTCTCATACATTTCTTGATGTGAATTCCATTGAAACTAGTCATCAAAAAAACATGTAAAGTGACTATATATCAGATCTTAAAATGAAATCATGACTTGAAAAAAATAAGAAGATAATCTCATTTAATCTCATTTAGTCTCATTCTTAGCATAAAGTTACTATTTTTAGACATTTTAAGGTTTTTTTTAGACTATTTTTAATTTTTTAAAAAGTAACACTTTTTAATAAGACTTAAATGAGATTTAAAGTCATTTAAAGCAATAAAAATAATTTAAATTGAGAAGTGAAAATTATAATCTCATTTGAAAAATGTAATAAGAGTAGACAGTAAGTCTCACTGAGACAGTATGAAACTACTATTTAATGTTAAAATCATGTAATAAGATCAGTTGAATTGATAATAAGACTATCAAAAAATCTGATTCTGATCTCAGACACAGTCACACGGTTAGTTTACTGAAGAATGTGAAAACAGACCTCTATATACTTTAAGCAGTGTGAAATTGCTTCAGAAGAGAATAGCTCTATAACAGACTTATTATCAGTATGAATTGTATAAGTCAGATCATTGACTATGATGAGAATGAGATAATCATCAGTATTCAGATTATTGAGATGAGATGAAATGAATTCAGCATCTTCTAGAAGCTCTCAGAGACAGATAAGCTTATATACAGTCTCAGAGAATGCAATATATTCAGCCTCTGTTAATGATTTGAAGACCTCTATTTACTGACAGCTCTGTCATGCAACAGAGTCATCTGTTATATAGATGATATAACTGATAATTGAACAAGATTCTGAATCTCTACTGACTCAATCAGTATCTGTGTATATTACAGATTCAATTTCAGCATCTCTGTGATAAATTATACTCTCATTGATTGAACTCTGTAGATATCAGAGTATATACTTGTATACAGCTCAGTTCTTTGATGTAGGCTGAGAGCTGAATTATTCAAGAAATTCTGCAGCAAAGCTTATATCAGAATATGTATTAAATGCTAGATATTACAGAGATTCAATACTAAATTAATAGAATCATAGAATAAATTCTGCTGTGTATACAATCAGTTTCTCATCATTATTCATATAATCAACATTTTTCTCTATAGAAGTGAATATAGAATGACAGTTATTCATTAAGAACTTCTTCAGAAGATTTCTTATAAAGAGAGATTGAGAAAATATCAATGAAGTTAAATCTCTATTAATCTTCATTTCTAGATAGTGATTGAAATTCTCTACATTCTTGATCTCATAATTAGCAGTGATTTCAGCTTTGACTCAGTTCAGATTATCAATCTTCAGACTGTAGAGACAGACATTATTCACATAGATAATTATATAGATCTGTCTTTCATCATGAATAAATAGTCTGACATTATAGAGACTGACACAGAAGCTGAAGTATAATAGTATCTTTCACAGCTTCTCATATCATAAGAGTGCTACTTGCTTAAGATCATAGAGTCTCTGCATCAACTCATACACAAGATCATCACAGTCTTCACAGAATTCTGTAAGTTGATTCATATATATTCATTCATCAGCAGAAAGCTGAGTATTTAAAAAAGCAGTCATCATATCAATCTGTAGAACATATTATTCCCAGAATGCTAAGATCACTATAAGAGCTCAAGAGATAAATGCAGAGACAACAGATATAAAGATTCTTAAGTAATTAACTCTCTTCTATTAATGATTTTCACAGACAACTCAGCAGGTCTTATAGCAGATAATCTCACTTATATTGTTGAACTTTTTATCAAATACTCATTGACTGTGAAGAATACTCATTTATGATGTTCTCTCTATCAGTTATCAGATCTCTATCTGTTTCAAACAGTTAATCTCTTTAACACAGACCTTGTAATAATATTTTCATTTCATAGAAGTTTTAATATATATGAGGTTTTTCAGAATCAGAAGTGCAGCAATCTCAGAATTGAAAGATAAGTCTTTAAGACTATCTCTCACTGAAGCTTCTCTCACTGTAGTGATATCTCTTGTAAATGTCAGAGAGTTATCAGATTCAACTGTGAGTTCTGAGAAGTTCAATGTATTCTGCACTAAAAAGACAGATATTTTCACAGAGATATTATAGTCAATTCACTAATTATTAGTGAGTATAAGAAATAATGAACACTCAGATTGAATTTTCTTATCAATGAACAGATTATCAATTGATGAATCAGAAATTGCTGAAGAAATTGTTGCAGTAAGTAAATCTGATATTATCAAAGAAATCACTGCAGCTGCTTTACAGGTCATATTGAGTAGAATCTTCAGATTGTGTGTTATAAGTATCAATGAATCAGTAAGATGAAGATTCTTCTGAAAGATAATATCTTTTAATATGTATAAACACCTGTTGAAGAGGTTCATCAATCTATAATTAATAAAATTATTATATCTCATAAAAATCAACTCTTTGAAATGAGAAGTCATCTTATTAATGAGCTTGAGAACTATCTTCAAGAATGCTTTACAACCTCATCAGTGAATACTGCATGCAGAAGATAGAGCTTTAAGTCAGATCTCATACAGTGTAATCAGCTTTGTATT